CCCTAGTCACTATCAATTTCAGGAAATCCAGTGCGATGGTTGATACTCAAAAATAATGATGGTGTTAATGTAATTCCATCATCCACTGGCGAGCCAGTAAATCCGAGCGGTCTCGAATTGATGACCGCTTCGACTTCGATAACCAACGTTTCCAACTGTGAACGAAAAATGTGAAATTCTTGTAATCCCAAAAGAGATAATAAATTTAATTAGTAATCAAGAACGAAAAAAGAATATAGAATGAAAAAACAAACGAAACTTATGGGTATCACTTCTAAAAATAATTACAATCAAATCGAGAATAAATTGGATATATATCAATCTCTTTCTTTCTGTGCGTATCTTTTATGAAGTGAGAGATAAACTCACCAAATCATTACAAATCGCCGATGATCTACAAACTGCACTCATCGAATTGGAAGTCAAAATTGAAACTGTGAATAACATCGAAACAAACGAAGTTGCTGACAATCGATCAGTGACCAGTCAAAGATCGAATCATCGATTGACGCCAAAACTACCAAAATTGGAAATCAAGAAATTCAACGATGATCGGATTCGGTGGCAAGAATTCTGGGATCAAATTGATTCATCTGTTCATTCAAATTAATTTATATCCGACGTCGACAAATTTAAATATTTAAGAAGCTATTTGGACGGCGTCGCGTTAAGAGCAATCGACGGTATTCCAATCACAAATGCTCAATATGCGGTGGCGATAGAAATGTTGAGGGAAGAAAGAAATGTCTACGAGTCCTCGGGCTAAAAGAAGAAGAATTTGCGAAAACATTCGTACCGATGATTTTTATGAAACTTCCATCAGTCATCAAATTGGAACTGAATCGGAAAAAGAGAGATCTACCGTGGGACTTACAAAATTTGCGGAAATTGCTAATAAATGAAGTCATCGCACGTGAATCATCAAATGACGAAGATGGCATGCAAGAGAAAAAAGAAGAAACAGTGAAAATTCGGTATCAACGGCAAACAAAACCAAATATTAAAAACCACATCAACATTTATAACGAATTCAAAAACTTTTATGAAAAAACGGGTGAATTCGAGCAAAAAGGAAAGTATGGTCAAGCATTATGTACCACATCACAGAGTGTTTAAAAACGACTCGACATCAAGAAAATTACGTATTGTATACGACACGTCAGCAAAGGCACGCCGGGACGCTAATAGCCTTAACGATTGCTTGCATCGGGGGCCGGTTTTTACTTTCAGATTTGTGCGGCTTATTGCTTCGTTTCCGTACTTATCCGATTGGAATTCTGAGCGACACTGAAAAAGCATTTCTTCAAATCGGTCTGCATAACAAAGACAGGGATGTTAGGAGGTTTCTCTGGTTCCTCGCGGATGACTGGTTAGAAATTTACAGATTTTGCCGTGTGCTTGGCGTAATTTCTAGTCCATTTTTGTTGGGAGGCATGGTGGCTCATCATCTAACGGCTGACGGTTCTCCCATTGCACAAAAAAATTAAAGAAAATATTTACGTTGATAACGTGTGCATTGGAATAGATTCGATCGAAGAAGGTAAAAAACTTTATAACTCGACAAAAAATATTTTTAAAGAGGCGTCGATGAATTTGCGGGAATGGTGCTCAAATTCGACGGAATTCATGGAATTCGTTGCGGAATAAGATCGTCTGTATGGCGAAAAAACAAAATTGCTGGGTCTCTCGTTTGGGATAAAAAAATCAGACATTTTGAACATTAGCGAAACAAAAGTTGAAGTTGGAGGGATCCTTACAAAAAGAAAAATGCTATGTATTATTGCGACCCACTCGGCTGAATTTCACCCATCATCGAGCATGCAAAAGCGATGGTTCAAAAATTGTGGAAATTAGAATGCTCCTAGTGGTGTAACGAGAAAAACGACGGTAGTACGGCGGCGCCGTAGTTTTTTTCAAACATCTGTTTAGGTTAGTGTAAGTTTTTTTCAAAAAATTCCCGGTGGTACGGCCCCGCCGCACGTCGCCGTGCTGTAGTTAGGCCACTAGATGCTCCTGTTCCAACACATATCGAAATCGGGTGGAAAGAACTAGAAAAAGATTTAAAAAACATTTCAGAAATATCGGTAAGAAGGTTATCGGCATTAAAAATAGTTTAGAAAATGAAGCGGTGGTCACTGAACTCCATTGCTTCTTGATTCATCGACGATAGTGTACGCAGCGTGTGTCTACGTGCGAATGGACAGAACAGAGGAATTACGATGAATTTATTATTCACGAAAACTCGATTAGCACCAGAAAGACTCTTACGATTCCGCGCTTAGAACAGATGGTGGTCTTAACTGGAGTTCGAATTCTGAAATTCGTCGAAAAAGAATTAAAGATCAAAATCGTAAAAAATATATTTGGTGCGATTCCAAATGGTGCGTCAAAATTATTGCTTACCGGATTGTCGTCGAATTATTGAATTGATAACAAAAACTGTTGGACATGCAGAAAATGGGAAGGTAGTTCGTTTCAACCGCGGGTTCCGCCAACACTGCCGCAAGAACGTTTATTGGAAGCGCCGACATTCACGTATGTGGGTGTGAATTATTTGGGTCTATCAATTATAAAAGACGACAAAACGAACGAAAAAAGTTTGGATTTGCTTGTTTACATGCGCTGTTATTTTGGAGCGGTGCATTTGGAGCTCGTTCCTTATATGACGACAAGTGAATCCATCAAAGCTTTTCGTCGATTCATGGCTCCACGTGGGAAACCGAAGGTTATTATTTCGGATAATGGAAAACAATTTTGTTTGGCAAAAACAACGTTTCAAAAAATTCGGTCGAACCTGTTATTTGATTCATCGATTCAAAATTACATTGCGAATGAAGGAATTATTTGAATAGTTTTTGTCCAGTTAGCGCCGTGAATGGGTGGCTTCTACTACCGGCTACTCGGATTCGTGAAAGCAAATGTAAGGAAAACAATAGACAGTCATCTTCTCACATATCGACAGTTGGAAACGTTGGTTATCGAAGTCGAATCGGTCATCAATTCGAGACCGCTCGGATTTACTGGCTCGCCAGTGGATGATGGAATTACATTAACACCATCATTATTTTTGAGTATCAACCATCGCACTGGATTTCCTGAAATTGATAGTGACTAGGG